GTGAAATAATATGTGTTTGTTATATTAATTATTAATATTTATGTACATTCAAGTGTGTAAATCCGTAACTCGGCATTGTAAATCCGTAACTTGACATGACCTTCTTCAACACTTTCTTCAATGTCGTAAGTCACTGCGTTCTTCATCACCATAACCCAACACCGATGGAGACTGATCGAAAACCCAGGGAGACCAAGCGAGAAAGCTCGAGAATCCATTTATTGACTTGGTATATGTTTATGTGTGTTAAACCATAACCTACCACCTTCATTTTCCATCTAGAACCTATCGATTGATTTATTATTTGTTTGTTTGTGTAAAACCATAGGCTACCACTTTCAACTTTTATCGAGACGAATCCTGAACCCATCGAGACCAATCAAGAAAACATCRAGATCGATTCACAACTCATTGAGACCGATCCACACCAATTAACACCAACCAAAACTAATCAAGAATCCATCCGTTGACTTGGTGAGTGGTTGTGTGTTAATGGTCTTTGACAAATTGATATACAATAGAACTTCTTTTTTGTAATAAAAGATCCACGAATGTATTGTTTTTGTAATATAGAAATTCATTGATTACTTATAATTACTTTGTTACCGGATATTAGTTCTTGATTTGTGGTTGGCAATGAATCCCTTGGGCTAAAGGGATATTAATAGATTTAGCAAATAGTTGGTTGTATAAGTTTTTGTCAAGAGATTGATTGAGGTTGAGGCCAAGTACATGAAACATGTAATTGATGATACTGTAGATTCATAGATGAAGAAGCCTCAAATATAACTTACCATTACAAGGAACAAATGAAATGAATTGCTTATGATGTTATAAATCATAAGTTTGAATCATTTTGATGATAAATCTAGGCCCAACCTATATTTTGTTTCCCTAAATATTTTTTGTATTTTGACAATATTTTTTATGGTGATGAAGATAGAATTGTGGTTGATGATTTTGGGTTGTTCACAACTATTAGAAGGGATGTTGGATGCATCATTACTCTTTTTTGTCATTTCAGTTTGGTTGTTAAACCTTTCTCAATTTTATCTTTTTAGAACAAACCATTTTAATAAACTAGGTTATATTAAACAAATTGAGAAGATCAATTTTTACATTATCAAGACCCACTAAGAACTACATAAGTTTTATTAATTGACTGTGGTTAAAGAAATCATGAGAGACATTACAAGTGCAAGTGGGAAGAGTAATAAAAATATCAAATTGTTTCCATAAAGAATTGATCTTTTGATAGTATACCGAAACAGAGGAACCATTTTGGATTAAGCAATTACTTTTTTGGTAAAGGTTAAAGGTAACAGATCCATCAACCTTATCATAAGTTACTTTCAATTCCTCCCAAACTTTGGAAGAGTCTTTTGAAAAAAAAAATTATCCAAGAAATAGATCCTCAGTGACAGAACCTAAAATCCAACTTAGGACAATAGAATTACATCTGTCCCATTGTTTTTGAAGAATATGGTCATAGTTAGGTCTAACACATGTTCAATCGATAAACCCAAGTTTGTTCTTGGTTTCATGAGTCAAGGTCATAGCACAAGCCTATATTCTCTAGTTATCAGTTCCATTTAATTTCAAATTTAGAATGGAAGTTCCACTAGTGTCACTAGGATAGCAAAAATCCAACTTCACAATTTGGGATACTCCTTGATTCTTAATAATAGCAGAGTAACCAACCATTTGGAGAAGAAAACAAAGAAAGTTAAAAACCACAACATGAACAGGATAGCAAAAAGCAGGATTCTTAAAACACTCAAATGGTGCTAGGTCAAGCTAACTATCCAATTATACACATAGAATCATAAAAACAAACAAGAACAGAAAACAAAAACCACCACAAACTATCCACCTCACAATAAAACACATGAACAAAATAGGAAAAGTAGCACAAAGAAATCTTGACTATAGGCAAGGATGGTGACTCAGTGACCTTGCTACCGAAAACGAGTACAATAAAATATTAATCCAGTACCAAGACATTCGTTTTGGTTATTTTCTTCACTTCTCGCACTCGAACTCCGATTGTCACAATGAACCATCTTAATCTTCTCAATGTTGTCGAGTTCTTTTCCAATGCGTTTATCCATAATAGCTTGAACAATACCGAAGATTTTACTACCATGTTTCCTTCACGAATCACAAACTCATAAAACAATAAAAATAGAAGATCAATATTAAAAATAAATAAATATTAAAAATGCACATTTTTAGGGATTTTATGATTTTGTAACTCCCAATTAATAATATGGGAGTTACATAAAAAATAAAATTACTCAACTACCTTTGGCATTAAATTGTAAGCTAGATAAAAACCTAATAGAAACATAGATTGTGATTGATTGAAATGATTTGTAAGGTTAACACACAAACTTTGGTTAATATTTGATCTTACCTATAGGGGCTAGTTCAAATGTTAACCAACTTTATTGTGTTAACTTTGTTAACCAATCTTGGTTATTGATTCTTATAATAAACAGTTGTGATTTATCAAATTAAAAATTTATTTTTTTAAATTGTGGAAAAGGGTATTTATGTAATTTTCTTTTCTATGTAACTCTCAAATCATTAATTGAGATGTTCAAAATAAAAAAAATCAATGATTTTTGTTAATTTATTTTTATTAATGCAAAAACCATATGAACACACACACACACACACACACATATATATATATATATATAAACCATTATGTCAAATATGAACAAAAGTTGACATATATATGAACTTGGATTGCATATCATTTATGAAAACAATATGAACATAATAAGAATAATTGCTACATAAAAGAAAATAAATAAAAAAACAGGTATGAACACAATATGAACAGATTGTGAACAATAGTTCCTTCATTATGAACACATTCAGGAGCGAGCCAATGTTGAGATATGCAGCTAGTGTACATATGAACACTTGTGAACAATAATTTCTTCATTATAAAACATTCAGGAGCGAACCAATGTTGAGATATGCAGATAGTGTATATATGAACACAATATGAACAACTTGTGAACAATAGTTCCTTCATTATGAACACATTCAGGAGCGAACCAATATTGAGATATGCAGCTAGTATACATATGAACACAATATGAACACTTGTGAACTATAGTTCCTTCATTATGAACAATGAGTTTATCCATAATAGCTTGAACGATACCGAAAACTTTACTACCGGATCTCCTCTATCAATCACAAATTCAAAAACATTATAGATAGAAAAATCAATATTATAAAAAACAAGATCAATAATAAATTAACAAAAATCATTGGATTTTTCGATTTTGTAACTCCCAATTAATGATGTGAGAGTTACATAAAAAAGAAAGTTACATATTTACCCTTGTCATTAAATTATAAGATGAATATGAACCTATAAACTCACAAGAAAAGAGAGTGAAAATGATTAACAAAGTTAACACAATAAATGATATGAATGCTAGCTAAATGGGATCTCTGGAATCAGGGTCGATCCTAAGGTTCTTGATGTCCTGTACGAAAATGCTAAAAAATATCTTAATGCCTCTTTTTTAAGCAAATGAAACGACGAAACATGTGATTTTTTAAAGAGTTTGGAACTTAGTCGAGCTAGTTGCCTCATCCTCATTTTGATTTTTATTATAATACAATGGTGGACATAAATACCAAAATCCCAAATTACAAAATATAGAATGATAAAACGAGAAAAGCTGGTGCTTCCTTCTTTTCCAATTTTCCCTTTTCCATGTCGAAATTAGCACAATAGAACCTTTACATATGGAACTTAAAAGACAAAGAAAACTACAATTAATTATAACTAAAATAGTTACATCAAAGTTAATCTCATAGTAAGCAAAGGGCAAAACTCAGAAAGTTACAGGTCTAAAGAGTCAAGTATAAATCTAATGCGATAATATCAAACCTCAAGTAAATAAAAATCAAGAGAACAATGATAAATTTAAAATTTATAAACTATGCTATTTTACATTGCAAAAAACAAGTGCTCAATAAGGCAATATCATCATTTGTTGTTATTTTTGTGTAGTCTGTACTCATATGCATTGCAAAATTCAATTTTCAAAATTCAATATGCAAGCAAGACTTATTATAAAAAAATTGGGTTCATGTTCATTTGTTTATTAAATAAACGAACGTAAACGAACTTCCTACAATACGGTTCACGAATGATCCACTGAACATTCGGTTCGTTACAACCCCATGCAAGACTCGTTATCAAAAAGGAAAAAAAAAGCCCCTTAGGCCTTAGCCTAGTAAGTCAGTAACCCATACGGCCACACATGACACAACTTTATGATAACCAATTAGAAATTTAGATTTTTTTTTTTTGCAAAAAGAATGAAAGATTCATAAATCTTAATATGACTCACACAACAATTCAACAAGTTCAATCAATATAAAAATCGGCCATTCAGGATTTCCATCTTCAATTTCTTGAATCTAACTTTAGACCATTAGTTGGTTGGAAACAAAATATCATGCCTTGAAAATTGAAATAGTCGAACTTTGAAGAACAATAGAAATCGGCTTGAGTTTTTGGGATGTTGGTTGTTTACCGGGTTACGATGCACATTCATTGTCCGATCGGGTTTTTGATTTTTCCGCCCGACACGTCCGATGCACAACCCTAGTTTACTCAAAAACTCCGATCCTTTTTGAAACACGTACCCATAATCAACTTGACTTTATCTTTTAAAAAGATCTGCCATAATGGGGTTTATGAACTATTTGAATGGGTTCTTGGCTCAAAAATTGACAGATAAAAACACAATTTAAAGTTCCCAATTCTACTTCATTATCATTTTGACCAATGATTTCTCAATGAAAATATGAAAAGGGTGGGTCTTGGGAGGTTTTCATGACCCTTTTCCCATGTGTTTATGTATGTCACTTTCATCTACTTCAAGACTAAACTTTCTAAAGCATAAGGTGCTATTTTGAACAACCAAGAAAACCACAAGAAAGTGTATGCCTTTGTAACTCTTTAATTAAGCTCGTGTATATATATATATATATAACAAACAATTATATGTTTCATAGATCTACTCCGAGTCGCTATTAACATTCTAATAATTTAATAGATCTACTCCGAGTCGTATTTATGCTATCTATCTTTGTTTGGTATTCTTGCTAACTAAGGGTATGCTTCCTGGAGACGAAGACCTATTTTTGAGCTATTGAATTAGGCGATCCAAAAATCCATTTATTTCTCACTCCCCTCTATCACTGAAACTCGGGTTGCTTTGAGAAATCCTTTCTTCCTCGTCCACTCACGGGGGTGCGGACTCTCCATCCCGCAAGAACATCCTCAACAAGAGAAAATTCTTCAGTTTTATTACAAGAAAGAAAATTCCATAACATGGAAAGTGCAACAATGCCACCAATAGGTACCTGCATATACATACATACATATATATATATATATATATATATATATATATCAAAGATTTAGAAAGCAGTTCCTTGACAGAAACACACACAACACCTTCATGCTTTCTTGTAAGAGAACTTACCATAATGGAGATAATGGTGAAGAGAGATCAAGAAAAGGGTATGGCCACCTGTTTTAAGATCATGATCATTTTGTCAGTGATCCTTTATATATGTGTATGTCTGTAAGAGAAAGTAGAAATAATGATCGTATTTTACCAAAGCCTGATGCATGCATGGACGATCCACTCGAAAATGACAAAAACACATGTCCAGAGAAAGAAATACGCGATTCGAAACAAAGGGAATCGCTGAAAAATATAAACTTTTAGAATCATAATCAAACGAAAATAACTGATTGGGTTTGTTTTTGTGTTAAGAAACCCAAAACAACTTACCAAGCTATTCAATGCAGTCTCAAAAAGCAAGAACACAACATTAGTAGAGTGCATAGCGATAGGGAGCTGCACGTATAATACCCCACAAACGAATCAAAAACACAAACAAAAGACGTGTTACTGAAGCATATAGAACAACGAATGGTGCTTACCAATTGAAAAGTATTATAATGTTCTCTAGCAAGAAAAGGTACGAGGATGAACCAGAAAATGCAATCGGTAAGCACAATTGCACCTGCCACCATCTGAAGAACAAAATGACGTGATGAATGGTTTGTTTTTCTGTCGAGTTTTTCATTTGTGTTCTAAGAATTTTACCTGGAATATGATTTGAAAAACATAAACGCAAAAGCCCGCGGCTTGGCAAGGGTGCCTTCGATCTTGAGGGCCTACAGCTTGTGCTTCATCTAATTCCTCGCTTCTCCCACCACCAACTTCATAGTGATACCGGTAGCATCCATATATTGACCACAAAGATCCAAACTGCGCATAGAAAACTCCAACATAAATCCGAGAAGAAAAAAGAACAACTCGTATAAAGAAAGATAAAGAGAAAGGGTATCTAAGAACAGATTATATCGATGAAACATACCCCAAAATATATAATAACCAGAGTAAAAGTCCACCTATAAACTCACAAGAAAAGAGAGTGAAATTTCAGAATTAGAGAAAACATTGGTAAATTAAGATTTAAATAATTGAATGCTAAACAAGATTCTTGTATATCATCAAGTAGATAAAGAATAAAAAATGGTGTGATAATGGATGCATCGAAGTGGAGAAAACATACTCTGTGTAGTAGTAAAACATCTTTCCTCCATGAACAATGCCATTTAGGATAATAATAAGTAATAGCACAAAAAAAGCAAATACTCTGAAAACCATCAACCAAATTGGATGGATTGCTTTCACACAAGGCTTCCAAACATCCTCAAAGCACACCACCACCCCATAATCATCATCATCTCCTCCTTCTCCGTTTCTTGTCCTTCGATTATTAGGCCTTTCGTATTTCATTATAAGATAGAAAGCCATAACCACTGATATTAATATCCATAGACAACATAGAAAATATCTCCAATTCAGCCAGTAACTGGAGGTGGTAGTATCAACTCCATTGGGAGGATGCCAATTGTTCTTTGAACCTCTCAATAGATTCATCAATCCTCTCGACATTTACAATATAAAAGAAACAGAAATGGAGGCTTTGAAAATTAATGTAAACTAAATTCTTGGAAAATGAAAACTTAGATTAAGTTTATGGAGGGATGGAGATGATGATTCCAGGTGAGATATATATAACCATGAAAAGATGAAGTTCTTCAAATTAAAAAAAATCTTACTTCTACACACAAATGCATAAAAATCACACCATTATGTCACAATCTTTGTGTATAAATTGTATCATTGTTTCTACGTAGAGACTTCCTCTTTTCTAATAATGTAATTCAAACAAAGAAACTATTTATGTAATACTTGTTCATCTTAGGATCCGTCTAAAAACTAAGGTTTTCTAAAAGTGAACCTTTTTTTTTGTTAAATTTTCAATTGTAAAATATTTTTCGTTGTTTTCATTATTGGCACGTAATTATATAGTTTTAATATCATTCTACAAGTTTTTTTTATTTCATTTGGGAAAAAATTTGAATATAACAAACCTTTATTCGTCATTGCCATGAAATAGCTTTAGTTTCACTCTACAAGTTATTTTTTTAATTTCGTTCATTTGCATATTTTTGGTTATTTAATCAATTGTTGATATTACTATTAAATTATACGGCACGTTAAATGTAACAAATATTCTAATTGTATGGCAAAGTATGAGGACGAATTTATGTTGAAATAATAAGCATAAATAATGTTCATCTAATTTTATAAATCCTCAATATTTTCTTTTCAAAGTGAAGGGGATGTGTGCTAAGCTGCAAGAATAGAAGATTCCTTCTAATTTGGATTCAAAGTTTGTTTTGCATTTACATCAATCACCAATTAATGTAATTCACTGTTTTTGTCACAAGTATTAAGTATATCATTAAGACTTCCTTTTTTCAAATAATGTAATTCAAACCAACAAATTATTTATGTAAAACCTTTTTGTCGTAGGTTCCGTCTAAAAACAAAGGTTTTCTAAAAGGTACACGTTTTTTGTTAACGTTTCAATTGTAAAATATTTTTCGTTGTTTTCATTATTGCCTTATTGGCATGTAAGTATATAGCTTTAATATCATTCTATAAGTTGTTTTTTATTTCATTAGGGGAAAAAATGAATATAAAGAACCTTTATTCGTTATTGCCATGAAATAACTTTAGTTTCACTCTACAAGTTCTTTTTTTAATTTCGTTCGTTTGCATATTTTTGATTATTTAATCAATTGTTGATATTACTATTAAATTATATGGCACGTAAGGTAACAAATATTCTAATTGTATGGCAAAGTGTGAGGACGAATTTATGTTGAAATAATAAGCATAAATAATATTGATCTAATTTTATAAATCCTCAATATTTTCTTTTCAAAGTGAAGGGGACGTGTGCTAAGCTTCAAAAATAGAAGATTCCTTCTAATTTGGATTCAAAGTTTGTTTTGCATTTACATCAATTACTTAATGTAATTCACTGTTTTTGTCACAAGTATTAAGTATATCATTGTTTCTACGTAAAGACTTCCTTTTTCTAATAATGTAATTCAAACCAACAAATTATTTATGTAAAACCTTTTTGTCGTAGGTTCCGTCTAAAAACAAAGGTTTTCTAAAAGGTGAACGTTTTTTTTGTTAACACTACAACGAAAAGGGGTTTATAGGACCCTCATTAGTGTCCTAATAAGGTAGTTAATAGGACTTTTAAGTTTATAGGACAAAAAATGTGTCTCATCTAAAGGTGTTGTATTAGGTTAATGGGATGAATTTGAGTGTCCTAAAAAATTCTAGGATTATGATACAAATTCCATAGTCCTATAAAATGGTTTAAGTAACACTAAAATGTGTCCTAATAGACACTTTATGTTGTCACAAAATGTTTACATTTAAAAACAAATATGGGCATCCCAAAAAATGCTTCTATAGGACAAAATTTAATGTCGCTAAAACAATTATATAGTACCAAAATATGTGTCTTAATAAGTTATATAATTATGAAACAAATTTTAGAGTCCTATAAAATGAACTAAGTAATACTAAAAAAGTGTCCTAATAGGCTATAATAATTAACACTAAAAGCGTCCTAAATGACTATAATGCAAGACACATCATCCAATTATAAAATCCTTCTGTTATATTACATTTAAAAGCATATATGAGAGTGCTTCGATAGAACAAAACTCGAAGTTGTAAAGTATTTATACGAGTATCAACTACCAAGCTATGTATCCACTAGAAAGTTGTATCATGACAAAACTAAGTAACGAACAAGAATAATGCAAATACAAAACTCTTATTGTGCCCTACAAACGAGAGATATCAATCTCCGTCATGCACAACCTACAATTAATAAAACACACACATATATATATTTAGGTAAACACATATGCATATCACATCAACTATATGAACAACTACATTACCTTTAGTTCTTCACGAACTCGAGCATAACTTTTTTTCCCGGTAATTTGCATCATCTTCTTATATCCCCTACTAGTCTTATTTCTTTCACTGATTTTCTGAAAATGGCATATAAGGCTATAAGCTAGAAGTGGGTAAATTACTTAGAAAAATTCTGAATCACAACTACTCTTTCAAATTATTGCTAAAATCCAGTAGCTAATTACAAACATATTAACTGAATTTCTAGTCTGTCTCCCAATGGTCATATTCCAAGTACAATAATTCAATTCAATTACAGTTTGTTAATGTATTGCATTGAATACAAGTGCTCAATTTGCATCTACTTAAACGATAAAATAGTTTGAGGGTATAAATTATGAAAGGAAAAAAAGCGACGTCATTGAGATATAATGGTTTTATAAAGCAATGTAGCATAAACTTATGGTTGCTATTACTAGTTCTCAATGTCAAGGGATCTACAGCCTGGAAAACCATATTATTGAATAAAAATGACCAACCAAGAAGGAAATTTCAGTAGTGTTGTTGGCATACGAGGTAACCCCTATCTTTCTTTTTCAAGTTTTGTATACTAGGGGAATTTGAGCTAACATATCAAGTTTTGTAAAAATTAGCAGCTAAAGAGGCTGATTTGTGTCTAAAAAAATAGCAGCAATAGGGACTATTTGGATGTTGTTTCGAGACTGTTTTGGGCCACACTTAGAGGTTGTTTAAGCTGTCCTAGGGGGTTGTTAACAGATGTTAGGTAAAGAAATTTGGGCTTCAATTAACAAATGGTAGATTGGCAGCAAAAGGCATGGATTTCAATTAGGATTTAGGCATACATGATACAGTAACATTATACATACAGACGTACAGTGAATCAGTGATACAGTAACAGTACTGGAAACACAAATGACAAACCACAAAGGACCAATTTCACAGCTTCATACTTAGGTTTTGCAATAAAACAAGAATTAGAAACATAAGAAATGAAATAAGTAAAGTAAATAACCCTAACCTCACAAGCCACAAGATGCGATAGCGAGAGGCCGAGAGCCGGTCGATAGTCGAGACCCGAAAGAGGCAGAGAGCGAGAGCCGATTGAGTCAAGGCCGATTGCGATTGCGATTTCGATTTCGATTTCGATTCACGAATTGGTTTCTGTTCGTGATATCGTCCCGTGAGCGAGGCGAGAGGCGACGAAGTGAGTGAAGGTCGATTGAGATTGACTTGATATTGCTAACATTATTTTTAGGCCCAAGTCCAAATTTAATCAATACTATTGGGCTTCAGAAAATTAAAACGCTTTTCACATTTGGGCTTTAGGTTTGATGTTAAAAATGGTTTTAAATTATGGTATTCATATCATTTTAAACTTTAACAGGTATCCTATTAACTTTTAAACATTAATACAATAATCAAAAATATCCTATTAACTTTTAAAATTAACATGACACTTAAAATGTCCTATTAACTTTTAAAATGATATGACATTTTAAAATGTCCTATTAGTCTTTTAAATAATACAACACTTAAAAATTGTCCTATTAGACTCTAAAATAATGTGACATTGAAAAGTGTAGTATTAGACTACATGATAGGACACTAAGAGAGCTTAATAAGACATAAAAAATAAGAGTCCTAGTAAATTAAATCAAATATGACTCATAAAATAATGTATCTTATTAGCCCCCTTTTAAAGGACGGGTTTTAAAAAGTGCCCCCAAAAAAATGTCTTATAAACTTGTTTTTGTTGTAGTGTATAACTTTTCAATTGTAAAATATTTTTAGTTGTTTTCATTATTGGCATGTAAGTATATAGCTTTAATATCATCCTACAAGTTGTTTTTCATTTCATTAGGGGAAAAAATTGAATATAACAAACCTTTATTCGTTATTGTCATGAAATAGCTTTAGTTTCACTCTACACGTTCTTTTTTTAATTTCGTTCGTTTGCATATTTTTGGTTATTTAATCAATTGTTGATATTACTATTAAATTATACGGCACGTTAAATGTAACAAATATTCTAATTGTATGGCAAAGTGTGATGACGAAGTTATGTTGAAATAATAAGCATAAATAATGTTGATCTAATTTCATAAATCGTCAAAATTTTCTTTGAACAATGCATTTACATTGTAATTTTCATCTAGAAAATGGTTTATTGTATGATTAATAGTATCAGGGGCGGATCTAAGGGGATCCGGTTCGAGCCCTTGCAACCTCTATAATTATTGGTCGTAATTTAAAAAAAAACCATGGTCCTTTAGAACGTCACCGTGTTATTTTATTGTTCGCTATAATACAATAAAAAATATATTCTTAGATCTGCCCCTAATTAATAGTAAAATACAACATCTTGATTTTATAGTTATTGTATTTTATTTGTTGAGATACATTTTATGTTTCTTTAGCTTTTCCTTACAGAGGAGGTGTGCAACTCCAAGATAAAAATGTATTTTTGGCTAATAAAATTTTGCTTCTTTGTCTTATGAAAGAGAACTTTTGGGCATCACAAGGATTCTTTTGAAGGTGGATTTTGGGTTTGGATGTTGTATCAATGTCTTAGGTTATATTTAATAAATTAGTTGATACAATTAAAAGTAGTTGATAAGTTAATTTATGAACTATTCAAATTGGTCAAAAACTAGTCGATAAACTAGTTGAGAAATGTAAAAATACATGTTAAAAAGTTAGTCAATTTTAACATTATCTATACTATCTTATAAAGCATTTGGCTAAAACTCTTAAAAACTCTTAAAACTCTTAAA